TCATACCCGAAGCCACAGCACCGGTAATACCAGTCAACGAGTCCTCAAATACCACACAATTGTGCGGCGATTCCGGCGGCGATGCAAACCGTTTGGCGCACACATGATATATATCGGGCGCCGGTTTGTTATGCCTAACATCGGGATCGTCTTCACCGCATACATAGTGTGTCATATATTTATCAATGAATGGCATTAAATGACCGCAACTCGAATAAAGTATTTTTGTGGACCCATTGGTTGCGATAGCCATCGGTATATTGTGTTGATATAAATGCCTTATCAATCGATCAATTCCTGGCGTCAGTACAACCGGTTTAGCGGAGAACTCCTTATAAAACATAGCCATAAACTCAGCCAACGGTGCTTTCAGGTCAAGTGAATCCATGATTTCAGCCAAAAATGTGGGCACATTTTGCACTTCATTGATTTTGTCTACGGTTTAAATGACCATGATTATCTATAATTCAATGCTATTACAAACTATACTCACTTTTATCATGGCAAATGTAACGTTTGTCATAATATTGAGTCGTGATCTCAAGCGACTTTATGATAGTGTCAACTGAGTCGATCAAGGTGCCACCCAAATCAAATATAACATGTGTGCCAATGTTTGTGGTCATTTTATTAAATGTATATAATTGTTGAAATAAAATAATGTTTATTTTAATACAACTAACTATGGTAAATTATTTATTAATTTTATAATTTATAGTAATTAACAACTTATTCAAATATTATTTTAATCACTATCACAAATATACTCATAAAATTTAAATGATTTTATCAGCTATTTATCTGTAAATGTTTACAATTATTTATCTCAATACTCTATGTGACAATTTGTTACCAAGACCTACTAGAATGAGTTTATTGTATATTTACAATTGATGTACACTTGTTATACAGTATATGAAAAATATGCCACTTTTTCCACTAATATAATCATGATATAAGGCATCCAAACAACCGGTTGGACTGTTTTTGAGGTTCATTTTTATAGTATGATGCAATGGTATTTATCTGAGTTCAATTTAATGTAATGATATAATTTTTATATTAACTCATGTAAAAATGGTAAATAAATTAGGTTACTAATGTCTTAATTTGTTTTGGCACAATTATAAGTCTCTCTCTCTCTCTCTCTCTCTCTCTCTAGCTTTATATAATAAGTACTAATAAATATAAATATATTATATTAGATGTGATATATTGTGGACCTGAGGAACAGGAGGCGGCCGAAGACATTTATATATAGCTCTCTCTCTCTCTCTCTCTCTCTCTCTCTCGTATAAAATAATTTTTAATATACATTAAATAAGTCAATCAAAAAAATTAACAAAATAATACTAATCAAAATTTTACAAAACTGCAAATTATATTTGATTAAATAACAAAAATTAATTTATTGAAATAATTTATACAAAATTACAAACTAAAAACATTTAAAAATTGCACATACTCACATTTAGTGCACACAAATTAACATTAATATTTTGTGTTCACATTGATTATATTGCAGTATCTAGGTACTTGGTAAATATTTTAGCAATAGCCACCGTGAACGATTTGTGTTTAGGTTCCGGGTATGTCGGGCCGAGTTCGCACTTGACCTCCGCTTTCACTCCAAATACGGTCTCAGCTCTGGTCAGGGCTGACGGATAGACTTCAATTCTGCTGCGGGAAAAGTTCCTGAAACCATCTAGGTCATCGTGCAAATTAATCACGTTTTCCCAGTAGTCACGGGAAATGCTATAAATTATGCACAAAATAGTAAAATTGTTTAATATTATACATTTTAAATTATATTATAATTAAAAAGTTATAGTGCAAATGTATAATGTGTAATGAGTTTCAATACGTATGAATTGATGAATTGTTGCATGATTGTCATATATATGGAAGTATTGAAACCCATTACACATTTAACATATACAATATATGTGACTACAAAATATACCACAGCATATGTGCCAAGTTGATTTTTGTCTGATTGACAACCTCTTCGAGGTAACCAAGGAAACGGTCGCGCAGTTGTTTCGTCTCGTTGAGTTTGGCGTTTGTAATCTTGCAGTATGTAATTTGCATGTCCTCGGGCAATTTGCAGAACGTGTTCATTTTCTCATAAAATGCAATGTCGGGACTCTCCAACATGATCCCCCGGAGCTCTGGCTTCAAGAACCCGATCCACCTCATTGAGTTCATTACATCCTTAAAACTGTGACCGAGAATAATGTCATTTAATAAATAATCAATTAATTATTTTATATTTGTTTATTCATTATTTACTATCATAGCTATTATTTCTCTAGTTGATTAGGATTAGTGCTCACAAATTATCACTTGTGCCAAATTCATTGCATTTCTCCTTAAGAATTGTAGCATTTTCTGGACATTCAAAGCCATTACCGAATCGCTCGTAAAATTGCATCAAAATGTCTTCGGCCGCCTCCTGTTCCTCAGGTCCACAATATATCACATCTAATATAATATATTTATATTTATTAGTACTTATTATATAAAGCAATTTAAACAATTACAATCTAGGTATTGTTGTATTAAAAGGCAAAACCTCCAACACATTTATATATAGCTCTCTCTTTCTCTCTCTCTCTCTCTCTCT